GTCCTCTTTTCAGATAAAAGTAAATTTTGCATTTCATTTGGAAATCAAGGTCTGGAGTCTGGAGGAAGACTGGAGAGGCACAGAATCCAAGCTGCTTGAAGTCCAGTGTGAAGTTTCCGAAGTCAGTGATGATTTGGGGTGCCGTGACGTCGGCTGCTGGTGTTGGTCCATTGTGTTTTATCAAGTCCAAAGTCAACGCAGCCGTCTACCAGGAGATTTTGGAGCACTTTATGCTTCCATCTGCTGACAAGCTTTATGGAGATGCTGATTTCCTTTTCCAGAAGGACTTAGCACCTGCACACAGTGCCAAAACCACTTCCAAGTGGTTTGCTGACCATGATATTACTGTGCTTGATTGGCCAGCCAACATGCCTGACCTGAACCCCATATGGAATCTATGGGATATTTTGAAGAGAAAGATGAGAAACAGTCGATCCAATAATACAGTCGAGCTGAAGGCTCAGTAGTGCCTCTGCAGTGCCATGCACAGGCATACAGATGTAATTAATTAATTATTAATTAATTATACATGAACATACTTTAAAGAACTTGAGCTTTTCTGGTTTGCAAATCCTTTTTTTTTTATTGATCTTATGAAATATTCTAATATTTTGAGATACTGGATTTTTGACTTTCATGAGCTGTAAACTCTAATAATCAAAATTAAAACAAAAAAAACTTTTGAAATGTTTTAATTTACATATAATGAATCTAGAATATATGAAAGTTTCACTTTTTGAAATAAGTTACAAAAAATTTACTTTTTCAGGATTATTATTATATATAATAATGCATATGTAAATGCATAAAACCATGTAAATGATCTGGATTAAGATTACTCAAAATGTAAAAATAAATCATAAATCGTTTTTCTCAAATCGATAGCTGTGGGCTAAGATGAGATGAGTTGCCTCCAAATGAAGACAAACTTAAAAAGAAAAGAAATAAATAATTTCTTAGAATAGTTTTTAAGTTTTTTTTATAAACCTTCTCATTACTGGTTTATGGATATTTTTATAGAACTTCTTATTTAAATACAGTGGGTATTCCTCAATGACTCAACATATTTATTGTTATGATACAGCTTATCACTAAAATTGAACCAACTCTTTTAATATTTCTAAGTACGATGACCATACATCCTCTTTTCCCTTGCTGGGATTTTCTAAATCACCTGTTTAGGTTTTGGCTTTGTTTTCTTATTGTTTTTATACTTGGAGATAATGACTGAAAAGTAGCTAGTTTGACCAATAGTATTCATTGCACATCATAGTGTACAAGAAAGTGGGATCTACAGAGAACAGTCAAGGCAATGTAAATAAATGTACATATAATGTACGAGGACTGTAGAGCGGCCATCAGTAGGAAAACAGAGCCAATTGTACCCCCAATTTTGAAATCTCGGTCAGGACATGTCTGGGAAACAGTGGACATATGGTCACACTATTACTGTCATATTTGTATGGCCCTACGCATTCTTCTAATTTCAGTTTGTAGCAGGCTTCCATATAACATTACATCAGCACATTAGGCATTACATTAGGCAATTTAGAAATCCCAGCCAGTGAAAAGAGGATGTAGAAATAATTAAAAGAGTTGGTGCAATTTTAGTGGTAAGCTGTAGGCTATCATATCAATGAATAGGCTATGTTGAGTCATTGGGGAATACCCATTTGTATTTTAAATAAAAAAATATATTTTCTTTTTAAGATATCCATAAACCAGTAATGAGAAGGTTTATAAGAAACTGAGTATTCTAAGAAATGTTTTATTTCTTTTTTTTTTACATTTTTCTTGCATTTGGAGGCGTACTATCACTCTTTAGGTGAGCAACTCATCTCATCTTAGCCCACAACTTGATTAAAAAAACAACAACAAATTTTGCAATGCTACCATGTCAATGCAGTTTCTTGAACTTAGTTCCGAGTGTGAATTCGAACTGAATTAGCCACATACCTGTAATGTAACTACTGATGTAACATTTTATATAATATTGGTGCCTTTTGTCATGATGATACAACAGTCACTTTTTCCATTTACTTTTTTCTCTTTTTTTTATTAATGCAAGGAAAGACTACAGAGTTGACATTTAAAAGATGTTTGTACATAATACACAAAGTATCAATAATATACATTATGTCAACTGAAAACAAAGATTACAAGAGAAAAAGTAGGAAAAAGTAAAAGACAAAAACAAGAACTTGAGGGTAAGACATTTAACTATCAATTATATCATACAAATTAAAGTCATTGCAAAATGAAATAGTTCTACTTGCGTTCTTACTTTCTGACAATGAAATGGTGTTTAGATCATTTTTAAATTGTTTCAAAAAACAAGAAAATGCGGTATGTTGTTGGTAAATAAAAAAAAAAAAATAAAAAAAAAAAAATAAAAAAATAAAAGAATTTAAATTGATAACAAAACAAGCATTGCTTTTAGAGTCAGATTCATAATGTCCTAAAATAATTTATTTGAAAGTAATAGATACATCTTGCTGGATATCATTAATTAATGAACCAATATTTTTCCAAAGTTGTTCAGTATAATGACAAGTCCAGAATAAATGAAACTACACTCCATTTACACGTGGTCACGCAGAAGTATCGTGGCGTTATATCAGGACAGGTAACTGCGCATGTGCGTGCGTGGTAGACTCCGCCTCTTCAGGATCTCTGCCGTCAGTGCACTACGTTTCGGGAAGCGCAAAGAGTAGAGTGGAGCAAGCCTTTCCAGGTAAATGCTTAAAAAGAATAAAGATAAATTAATCTTTACCTATTTTATATGTGTGTAATTTGCTACTCCTGACTGTATTAATGTCAAAACACGAATAAATTAATTTCCAGCTTTTCGTCACGGTAAGTTCTTGCATTAATTAATACACTGCTGTATATCTAGACTAAATACACTTCTAATGCAACTACACTGTCCTTATTCGACTGACCTTTTCTGTTTTTAAAAAAATAAAAACGATAAGAAAATTATGATCTGGACAAATTGTGGTCAAGCTCACCTTCAACCATTATCGAGGTTACTGTCCCGGAGAACACAGACTTTTGCAATCATATGCAGTTATGACTTTGCTTTATGAGCCATGTGCTTAAACTCCATGTTCAGGTATTAAACTTGTTGTTTTTGACATGCATATAAGCTAATGTTTCTCTCGATTCCCAGGATAGACCTCTGGAAGTGACAGAAAGGAGAGGTGTAACATGTTGTTAAATCCAGTAATATCCAAGCTGAGTGGAAAGCTTGTTGTCCTGGCAAGCGCATCTCCACGACGTCTGGAGATTTTATCTAATGCTGTAAGTTTTTGGGTTATTTTTACTAGGTTTTTACATGGACAATGAACTTTGAATGATCAGTGCTTTCTCTTTTCTTCTTCTGCATTGATGAGGCAGGGTTTACGGTTCGAGGTGGTTCCTTCTTGGTTTAAAGAAACATTGGACAAATCCTTGTTTAAGAACCCATATGACTATGCAGTGGAGACAGCCAAACAGAAGGCTTTGGAAGTGGCTCACCGAATGCCATTTGTAAGTTGTATATTTCTGTATGTGAGCAAGCCAATTTTAGTTTCTGACCATTTACAATGTCCCCTTTATTCTGTATAACTGTATATGTGCTGGATTCAGAAACACTTGAAAAGTCCAGATGTTGTAATTGGAGCAGACACTGTTGTGGTAAGTAGCTGTATAATTCAATATAATAGATTCTACATATGATATTCTGTCCGGAAAATTGCTTTGTTAAATTTGTCTTCTCTTTTCATCCTCAGACAGTTGATGGTTTGATCTTGGAGAAGCCTACAGATAAAGAAGATGCTTACCGTATGCTTTCTAGGTGCATTTTCATTTTTTGGTTGTCTAAAGTGAGACGTTTATTGCACTCATGCAGAAATTAAAATATATTGAAATGATTGTATTTCAGGTTGAGTGGTAAGGAACATAGCGTCTTCACGGGTGTAGCTATTGTGCTCTGCCATGACAAGAGTGGTATGTGAAAGTTTAATGTATTTATTATTTTTACAATTAAAGTCTTGTATTTGTAAAATAGACAGATCATTTTAAAGTTTAATCATTCTTCTTTGCAGGTTCAGATACAGACTACAAAGTGGTTGATTTTTATGAAGAGACAAAAGTAAAATTTGCAGAATTATCCGAGGAGATGCTCTGGGAATACATCAACAGTGGAGAGCCCATGCGAGTTTATGTGCATTGATTTTCATATGCAAAATTCATTGAAGGCTGTGATCACGTTTGCTGAGCATGTTCAGTAAATTTGAACTTGTTGAACCTGTGGAATTTTGACCTTTATAGAGTTAGTCATTTTTGTGTTTGCTTTGACGTGTTGATAATGACAAGGGAAAATTCAACAAAGTACATTTTTGAGTAAGGGAGTCCACTTTGAGTAAATAAATCCATTTTCTGTACTCTGGCATTTCGCCTGCCGTGCAAATTCTTATCAGTGATGAGACTGACAGACATATCTGTGCTTGACAGGGACAAGGCTGGTGGTTACGGGATCCAGGCTTTGGGTGGCATGTTGGTAGAGTATGTGAAAGGAGATTTCCTTAATGTGGTAGGCTTCCCTCTTAACCACTTCTGCAAGCAGCTGGGATTGATTTTTAACAGCCCACCTGAAAGTCCAGCCCACAAGGTCAAACGGGAATCAGATGAGGCCTGGACTCTGGTTAACAGTCTGTCTGAAGGTGCCGCAAACGAGGAGGTTGAGCTATTGGAAAATGGTAAAGATTGTCGGATGTCAATGCAAGAACAGAATGTGATTGGGATGGAGTGCAGCAGACAGCACATCCCCCACAGCATCATCAGTTTACTGAATGGGTTCAAAGCTTCAAAGGTAGTCATGATTCTTTCAATTTTAAAGAATAGTTCATTAATTCCACTTATGCCAGAGTGCAAATTTGGTAAAAATTCTCCTTGTGTTCATCAATATTAAAAGCATATAGGTATTCAGGTATATGTAAGCATATGTATAGGTATACTGTATATACGCATATAGATTCATCATGAGCAAATAAACAATTTTCACTTTTGTGTGAACTACACCTTTACTATTTTAACCTAATGTAGGTTTTAGGTTGTTATTTGTACACATGAACCATTAAAATACAAATGGTTTGCGTGAAATGTGTGGTAACTTTTCTGCAATGCATTTGTTTATCAGACTCTATTCACAGCATCCAAACTGAAGGTGTTTGATGTATTGAACAGCTCTAACAGTCTGACATTAGAAGAGGTAGCTGGCCAAATCAACGCCTCTGTTTTAGGCACTGAGAGGCTTTTGGAAGCTGCTGTCTCTTTAGGGCTTCTAGAATGGGTCAAACAGCAAAATACCAGTGGTAAGATTTACGTACTGCCGTTTTACTCACATAAATGGTGTTACTGTCGTAGAAATCGCATGTGGTTTTCCTAAATGCGAGTTCTGAAACCTCTAAGCTCATTGTCCATTTATAACTTACAAGCACTTTCTCTGTTCAGCAAGGCACTCGCATACATGCATTTCCTCCTACTGATTGTTTATTACATGTTCTCTTCATTGTCATGTCTGGAGGTGGACTGTGAATGTAACATTGTTTATTGTCTGTTGCAGTGTATAGAAATACAGAACAGGCCAGTCGCTTCCTGGTATCAGACAGCCCAGAGTCATTGAATGGATACATTCTCCACTGCAATGATATGGTGTGGCCTCTCTTCAGCCATCTAGAGAACGCTGTCAGGGAGGGCACCAGCCAACATGAGCGAGCGTTTGGGAAGAAGAATGAGGAGGTGTTTCAGGTAAACGCGAGTTAAACGCATCTGCTTATATCACCTATGGATCATGCATTTTCAAAAGCTATTGACATTTCAGTATTAAGTAGAACTGCTTTGTTGTTTTCTAGGATGCCTTCTACAGTAAAGATGAAGTTAAGATACGATTCATGGATGCAATGCACAGCATCGCAAGGGTGACTGGAAAAGATGTGGCAACAGCGTTTGAACTTTCTCCCTACAAAACAGCTTGTGACATTGGAGGTATATGATTTTTTACCTCAAAAATAGAGACAGATGGTAAAATAAAGGCTATCAATTGGTTCATTTTTAGGTAATTAAATTCATGATATACTGATTAATCAAATGCAGTCTATAACTTTTTTTTAATGGACAGCCTTAATATATCAGGTCAATTCAAAGTCAAATAAATGTTAAAATCACTAAAATAAAATATTAAAAAGTAATGAAACTAAATTCAAATATGGATTAAAGAAAAAAATCAATAAAAGAACATATTCTCACAGCTTTTTTTCTAACGTTCAGGATTATTCAACATTCCTCACTCTGAGACATAAAAAAAAAAAAACTGGATCAAAACATTGCGTGCCTGACTTCCCATTGAGACGTGAGCAAGTGACCGCGAGAATGCACAGATAAGATGTGCAGAAACCACCATCTCGCTGCTATCTTGCATAATTTGAGATTTCACTAGAGCATAGTGCATGCATATTTTATTCTGAAAGCTTGTTCTCAAAAGTTGCTTATCTGAAAAGGAGTTGCAAGCTTGTTATGCAAATTATATATGCTTCTAATTACCAATTCTCTCAGGGGCTTTTTATGCCAAGGACATCTGTATTTATTGTATCCTGTTTATTCTCTTTACCTGCTTTGACCTAAATTTAGAGCTAGAATTAATTTTCCACACCGACAAAAAATGTTAGAAACTTTAAAGGTGCGTAAAGGGTGAAGGGTTTCATTTTGGTGACACTAGAGTAACTAAATGGAATCATAAAAATAATAGTGTTTCCAAAATCTTCAGCCTTCTTTCTTTGTTTGGACAGACAGATAGTCCTGCAAATTCACTTAAACCTGATTCTGACATGAAATAAATGTGCACTACCATTTAAAATTTTGAGGTTAGTAAGAAAAAAAAGGAAAAGAAATTAATACATTCAAATTCAGCAAGGATGCATTAAATTGCATTTAAAGTGACAGTAAAGACATTTACAAAAATTTATGTTTCAAATAAATGCTATTCTTTAGAACTTCCTATTCATTAAAGAATCCTAAAAAAACCAACTGTTTCATAGTTTCTGCAAAAATATTAAGCAGCACAACTTTACAACATTGATAATATGAAGAAATGTTATCTTGAGCACCAAATCAGAATATTAGACTGATTTCTGAAGGATCATGTGACACTGAAGACTGGAGCCATGGTTGCTGAAACTTCAGCTTTGGATCATAAGAATAAATTACATTTTAAAATGTATTGAAATAGAATATGGTTATTTTGAATTAAAATATTTCACCACACTATTACTGTTTTTACTGTATTTTTGATCAAATACTGTAAATGCCACTTTGTTGAGCATAAGAAACTTTTTAAAAAACATCAGAAAATTCCAAACTTCTGAAGTGTAGTCTAGAGTTATGAATTATATATATTTTATGATATGAGCATTTTAGAAAAGCATTCTGTTCTCACATAGGTTGCACTGGTGCCATGGCATACGAGTTTACAAAAGCGCATCCTGGACTGTCGGTTATTGTATTTGACTTGCCACAAGTCATTGAGATGAGACGCCACTTTCAGCCTAAAGAAACTGATGACAGAGTGTCATTTGTTGCAGGTCAGTGAAGACTTTATGTGAACATTTTTATAATGAAGAATTTTACAGTGTATTTGTCTCATGTATAAATACATCCTGAGTAATGTGCAAAAGGCCTTTTGAAATTCTTGACTGTTTTTTTTTTCACTTTTTGTTTTTCTTTTATTTGCACGATAGGAGATTTCTTTAAAGATGACCTGCCTAAAGCAGACCTGTATATTCTTGCACGAATCCTCCATGATTGGTCTGATGAGAAACTGCACGTATTATTGAGTAAACTGTCCAAAATGTGCACACCAGGTAAGTGCTTTAAAAAGTGACATTATTAAATTCTTAATGTGTAAGCCTGATTCTGAAATATCAAACTTTTTGATGCCAAGGACCCTCTAATAATATGATGATCCCTGTGCAAATGGCCCCTTAGCGCCCCCTGGGGGTATCTTCATCCCAGTTTGTGAACTCCTGGCCTACAGTATAAACTCTATCTTAACATTACTTGTTCCTTTAAAGCATTTCGAATTGTAAACATCTGAAGTCATCAAAATTACTGTTTTTTTTTTTTTTTTTAAATCAAGGTCAAGGGTTTAAATGTTTGGTTTATGAATGTATTGCTACCAAACAGGTTGTGGGCTTCTGGTGTCTGAGATCTTCCTGGATGAGGAAAGGAAAAGGCCAAGCCGAGCCCTGTTGCAAGCTCTCAGTATGACAGAAGGAAAGCAGAGGAGCCCCACCGAATACAGTGACGTACTGGAGAAGCATGGCTTCACTCCCAAACACATCAAACACACGGACAACCTGCTGGATGCCATGCTATTTGTGAAAGAAGACCCAAATGACAAAAGAACATTACTAGGCTGTTCTTCAGCATCCATTGAGACTGCAGAACTTGAGTGATATAACGACTGCAGCATTTTGGCAACACTACAGTTGACTTATTCTAGCTCAATGTTTTAGCTGTGTTCAAATATTATGAACGTTTCTGACCTAAATGCTCGAAATAAGTGTTTGTACATGATTATTATTAATTCCAGAAACAGTTTTTAACTGTGAATGTTGTATATTGAATTAAATATGGTTTTGAATCAAAAGACAGCGTTCTTGTCTTTAGCTAGTTTTTTATATGGAGGAATGGGGTTTGTAGTCATATAGGGAATGGATTCAAGAGCTATCTAACTATGAGGGTTTTAAGTAAAAAGTAATTATACAGAGGTAGGCCTATAATTGGCACTGGTACTGGTTTTGTATGTTGGTTTACAGTTCAAATCTCATTTAGAATTGTAACTAATATTATGTAATGGACAATTAATTATGAAGTTATTAATGAATAGATATAGCTTGTGATGAAAATGTAAGTTCTGTGTTGTACACAGCGTCTTTACTCGACCCTAGTAATTCGGGAGCAAATATCGCGAGAAACCTCGAGACTTAGCGCGGTGTGTCCTTCGCAGCATCCTCATCACTTTTTCTACCTCCTGCATCTGCCAGCACGTTCAGTATATTGTGTTTATAATACACTAAGCTTAAATATTATCGTCATGGCTGATGCTGCACTTTCTTTTGCTAAAGACTTCTTGGCCGGTGGGGTCGCAGCGGCTATTTCCAAAACTGCAGTCGCGCCGATAGAGAGAGTCAAACTGCTGCTGCAGGTGAGAATCAACATCTCGACTTCTCTTAACACACTCTGCCGTGATGCATGCTAATTTATAAACCCCTTTCTTTCGTATTTAAGAATAGCGTGAATTATTTTGTGGCTATAAAGATGCGAACGGACTGTCCTTCAGAGGCCATATTTGAGTTGTCTGTCTGCAACATCCGCGTCCCTGGAGGATCTCAACATTTAAATTGTCATTTTAATACCTAGTTTCTATTCTGGCATTCTTTCACGTGGATCTTAATTTATAGATTTTAGTAACCCAAATGTACCGTATTTTAAAGCCAAACCGTGAATTTCCAGCAGCTGGCTGGGTGGCACATCTTGCCCCCTGCAGTCTGGTCTCATGTTGCAGGTCCAGACTTTATGCATTATGGCAGATTTTTGCCAAGAAGGGCATCTAAAATCAGAAGAAAATCATGTCAGAACTAAATGCTACCATACAAATGTTTGGAATCCTCAAGATTTTTTAATGTTTTTGAAAGAAGTCTCTTAGGCTCACCAATGCTGCATTTATTTGATTTAAAATACAGTAAAAACAGTAATATTGTGAAATATGATTATAATTCGAAGTAATATATTTAATTTATTCCTGTGATAGCAAAGCTGAATGTACTGCAGTCATTACCAGTCTTCAGTGTCACATGATCCTTCAGAAATCATACTAATATGCTGATTTGCTGCCGGAGAAACGTTTCATATTATTATCAAAGTTGAAAACAGTTTTTGCTTAATATTTCTGTGGAAACTGTGATATGCTAGGCTACTGTTCAAAAGTTTGGGGTCAGTAGATTTAGCAGATTTAGTGATATTGAAGACATTTATAATGTTAAAAAAAACACTTATGTTTCAAATAAATGCTTTTCTTTCGAACTTCGTATTCATCAAAGAATATTAGGAAAATGTAATATGGTTTCCATAAAAATATTAAGCAGCGCAGCTGTTTTCAGCATTGATAATAATAAATGTTTCTTGAGCAGCAAATCAGCATATTAGAATGATATCTGAAGGATCATGTGACACTGAAAACGGAAATAATGGCTGCTCAAAATACAGCTTTAGCATCATCACAGAAATAAATAGCATTTTAAAATGTGTTAAAATAGAAATAGTTTTATATAAACTGCTAAAAAAGGTTCTTTTAAATGGTAATAGTATTTCACAGTTTTCAGTATTTAAAATATTGCTTAAGGACAATCAAATGACAAAAAATCAATCCAGATATCATTTATCTCACAGTATTTTGTGTTTCACTTTATAGGTACAACATGCCAGCAAGCAGATCAGTGCAGACAAACAGTACAAAGGTATTATCGACTGTTGTGAGGATTCCTAAGGAACAAGGCTTTGCTTCCTTTTGGCGCGGCAACCTAGCCAACATCATTCGCTATTTCCCCACACAAGCCCTCAACTTTGCCTTCAAGGACAAGTACAAACAGATATTCTTGGGTGGCGTTGATAAGCACACACAGTTCTGGCGATACTTCGCTGGCAACTTGGCCTCCGGTGGAGCTGCAGGAGCCACTTCCCTCTGCTTCGTCTACCCTCTGGATTTCGCTCGTACCCGCTTGGCTGCAGATGTCGGCAAAGCTGGCAGCAGCAGAGAGTTCAATGGGCTGGCTGACTGCCTGGCCAAAATCTTTAGGTCAGACGGCTTGCGGGGTCTGTATCAGGGCTTCAACGTCTCTGTCCAGGGCATCATTATTTACAGGGCCGCCTACTTCGGAGTCTATGACACTGCTAAAGGTAATAGGTTTGTGCATCAGATGATGTGATTTTCAGGGTTGTGCGCTATTCAGGATTGATTTGAGACTGCCTTTCAAATTCCAGTGTATTTCTTAAATTTTGAAATCATTTGAATAGAGGAAGAAAACAAACTGCTGAATTCAATTTGAATGCTTTGAAGTAGAATTTAAAAATCTGAATAAAATAATAATAGATTTTAGTAGAACAGCAAATACATACTTTGAATCTTAGATTGACAAAGCCTTGTTTGAAACAGGGTTGTTTTAGTGATATAGTATTTATTCATAATTTGAATTAGTACTTTTTTTTTTTAATAAAAAATTCTCAATAAAAATAACATTGGTTTTACTAGAAAAGCAAATGCAAACTTTAAATCTGGGATGGACAAAGCCTTATTTGAAAATGTTAAATTTGTATTATATTATTTATATAATATAGTTCATTTATATTATATTTATTAATATTTTAAATGAGGTTTTTTATGAATTTAATTTAAAAACAATTGTCAATAAAAAATAACATTGATTTTACTACAAAAGCAAATACAAACTTTGAATTTTGGCTTGACAAAGCCTTGTTTGAAACTGTTATTTTACTATTGTTTATATATTATTATAGTATTTATTAAAATTTTGAGTTAGATTTTATTGTTATATTTTCAGTTTCCATTTTAATTTTAGTTTGTTTTAGTAATTTTATTGTGCGATTTTATCATTTTTTTATTAGCTCTGTTTTTATATTTCTGTTTAGCTTTCATTTATTTCTATTTGAGTTTTAGTAATTTTAGAACTTTAACTAGTTTTACTTACAATAACAACACTAGTTTTAAAATTTTGGGGGAAAAAAGTTTTAAAAGCCCTGAGGTTTTCAGATTTATAGGTCTTATGGATAGAGATGCTTGAAATTTCACCTTTAAAAGATTGTATTTAGTTTATATGTCATTATATTTTTGGGGACCAGGGTGAAAGATCACTTCTTTTCCCAGAATGCATTACCTGTGTTTTACACTTACAATTTAGTATTCAGAATTGCAATTCCTCTTTCTGTCATTCGAATTTAACTTGTGATATGGCCAGTTCAAGTCAAATTCACACAGCCAGTTCTTCAATTCTTCAAATATATAAGAAACATGCATGCATCATTGTGTGTGGTGCTGTGCAGGCATGCTTCCCGACCCTAAGAACACCCACATTATGGTCAGCTGGATGATTGCACAAACTGTGACAGCAGTGGCTGGCGTGGTGTCCTATCCATTTGACACTGTGCGGCGTCGCATGATGATGCAGTCCGGGCGCAAAGGAGGTATACAACAGACACACTCAAACATATGCACTGTTCTCCATCAAGTGTGCATTTATTTCAACTCAGGACCTTTGTCTTTTGTTTTCCTAGCGGATATTATGTACACTGGAACCCTTGACTGCTGGAGAAAGATCGCTCGTGATGAGGGTGGAAAAGCTTTCTTCAAAGGGGCTCTGTCTAATGTACTCAGAGGAATGGGGGGCGCATTTGTGATCATGCTTTATGATGAATTCAAGAAGTTTGTTTAAAAATATGTGCTAAAAGATAGTAGAATAGCTTTTACCACACAGCTTTGTCAAGCTTTAACCAAACCCTCTCCACACAGATGTGGTCTTGGTTAAATTGTGTTAGATGCCAAAAGCAATTAATAATTTTCATTCATTTTGTTTGTTGCTATGGTTTTATGTTTTGAAAATGCTCTGTCCTTTAATGATAAATAACCCATATTTTATTAAAAGAAAGCAGTCAGAGAAATATTACAGATACAATTCTAAAATTGGTAATATAAGGGAAAGGTGTTGTATATTTATGCTCAAAATTATTTAAAATATATATATATGAGTTTATTGATTTTATCTATAATATTGCTTCAGAAATCTGAGCCATAGCCATCAATACCATGCAATACCACAACACCTCCTCAAGATGGCACAACGGCATTTTTTCCTGCATTCATTCAGTACCATGTTCTTGTAGTCGCTCAGCACAGTTTTTCAGTTCTTTTAGCCAAGGTCTGTGGTAACAAGGGTATTCAATATCACTCTCAAGAAAAAAATGTGGAGTTCAAACACAAAGAATAACGTTCCACACTTTAAACGTTTTCTCAAGTTGGGCTTGAAAAACCAACTGAGAGCTGGTGTCCGATGGAATCATAGACGTATTAAATATGACTCTTTAATTCACAACAGATTTGCCCTCTATGTGTCTAAGCACTGAAAGAGAGCCTAGAAAAGTGTTCCAGCAGAGAATGTGTGGCTTTCACAGGCAGACCTTATGTGACACGAAAAGTGTATTTCCATGATTTCTCTTTTTGGAAGTCTGCTTAAGAATTTTCCATCTTGGATAATGAGGGGAGTCATATTTTCATGGTCATTTTCTTGTCAGTCTCAGTGTTTGGTTGCGTCAGGCTGATCTTGATGAAGTAGATCCCGCTTTTAGAAGTAGAAATGTGAGGGCAAGTAAGGAAGGACATTGTGAGTTCAGTAATGACACTGAAACATTATACCATTTTTAGCATGCAGAGCTATTGTAATCTTATTCCACATGGAGAGAAATTCTGTAAGACTACTTGCTGTGGTGTTTGAACACCAAGAATGCTTGTAAATTCTATAAAAGTGAATAGCCTACCCCATGCTTTCATGATTTTCATTTTTAATTATT